ATTAATGGTAATCGTTTACACGTGTATGGTTTAATAGATGCAGACATTAAAATGGATGAAAAGACATTCAACCATCAGTTTCTTGTCTGCGATATTACTGAAGAAGGTATTATAGGCCAAGACTTTCTCCTAAAATTTGTGGATAAAATTGACTATAAAGGTCTTCGAGTTATAACTGAGCTTGGTGACATAAGTTGTTGGATTGGTGGAGAAGCTGAAATGATAAGTCGAGTCACAGTAAGAAGGACGACACAATTACAAGCAAACACTGTTACATGGGTTCCAATTCATGTCCTAAAGTCAGAATTCCTAGCTGAAGATGGCATTATAGAAGTATCACACAAGGTTAGTGAGACACAGAGAGTATGTCTGCTCAGTGAAATCATAAATACAAGAGCCGATGACAAATACATTCAAGTAGTTAACTTTGATGACTCTGAAACCATCTTAAATGTGAACACTGATATAGGAATCTGCGAGTCTTATTATAAACAGAGTCAACCCATTCATAGATGTGCCAGCGTAATAATTGAATCTGAGATCCCTGCAATGGATCAGCTGCCAGACCACCTAAAAGATATGTTTGAGAGAAGTTCTACTGAACTTGAGCCGGATGAAAAAGAGACCTTTGCAAAATTGCTGCTGAAATATCAAAATATATTTTCAAAGACTCCTGAAGATCTTGGCAAGACAGACAGAGTGCAGCATCGGATAAATACAGGACAGGCTCTGCCGGTACGACAACCTCCTAGAAGACAACCAATTGGCAAGCGTGCAGCAGAAAAATCTGAATTGGAAAAGATGTTGCAGCTAGGTATCATTGAACCCTCAAACAGTGCTTGGGCATCGCCCATTGTCCTCGTCACCAAGAAGGATGGAAGTACTAGATTCTGTGTTGACTATAGGAAACTTAATCACCTAACTGTGAAGGATGCTTACCCTCTTCCCAGGGTCGATGATTGTTTAGACTCTTTGTCTGGTTCAAAATGGTTCTGTAGTATGGATTTAAATTCTGGATATTGGCAAATAGGCATGACTCCTGAGGATAGAGAAAAAACAGCATTTGTTACAAGTTTTGGCCTCTATCAGTTTCTGGTTATGCCTTTCGGATTATCCAATGCGCCATCTACTTTTGAACGTTTGATGGAAAGTGTCTTGAGAGGATTACAGTGGAATGAATGTCTTTTTTACATGGATGATATTATAACCCCTGCATCAACCATCAGACAATGCCTAGAAAGGCTCGGGCACGTTTTTCAACGACTGCAAGATGCAAATCTCAAATTAAAACCTTCCAAATGCGTTTTCTTTAAAAAGAAGAGTAAAATTTCTTGGACACATTGTATCTGAGGAAGGAGTCCAAACAGACCCTGACAAAATTGCTGCAGTTTGCAATTGGCCCAATCCGAAGAATGTAAAACATGTTCGAAACTTTTTGGGACTGTGCTCATACTACAGGCGCTTTGTCAAAGACTTTGGAAAAATTGCACGACCCTTGCACAGGTTGTGTGAGAAACGAGTACCCTTTCTCTGGAACGAAGAGTGTCAAGAAGCCTTTGAGAGGTTGAAGCAGTTTCTGACTACTGCTCTAATCTTAGCATATCCCTGTGCAAATAAACGTTTCATTCTGGACACTGATGCAAGCAACACCGCTGTTGGTGCAGTCCTGTCACAGGAATATGATCAAACAGAAAGAGTCATAGCTTATATGAGTAAAGCTATGAACGTTCACGAGAGGTCATACTGTGTGACAAGGAAAGAATTACTTGCTGTTATTATGGCTCTAAGAAACTTTCATTCATATTTGTATGGACAGGAAATATTGTTGAGAACCGATAATGCAGCTATTAGCTGGATTAGGAACTTGCGTAACCCTACTGGACAAGTCGCAAGGTGGCTCCAGGAACTGGGCACATATAATATCATTGTAACACATCGCCCCGGCCAGAAACATTCCAACGCTGATGCAATGTCGAGGAATCCATGTGTCACCTGTAGGCGGCAGGACGAAGTTCAAAGAGATGTAGATTCTGATGAAGACAGTGACCGAAAATTGATTGAGCTTAAACCAGCGTCAACACAGTGTGAGGAAGAAACTGATAAGAAATTAGGTTGTTCAGATATAACGGTGCAAGTTAAATCCAGAGCTATTACAAGAAATCAAGCTGTTGATAAAGAGTCTGCTTTGTCCGTAAGGCAAGAGTTGCTTTGTGGATGGGAACCATCAGAAGTTAGAAATCGTCAGCTCGAAGACCCAAATATTGCACCGATAATGGAAGCCATGGATGATGGGTGCGCTCGTCCGGAATGGCAACGTATATCTGAAAATCCTTCTTCACTAAAAACCTTATGGCGACAATGGGATCGGCTTGAGTTGCATGGTAGAATGCTATATAGAAGATGGTTTGATGACACAAACGACTGTTCTAAGCTTCAGCTGATAGTGCCAGAGGCCCTCAAACGTGATGTTCTTAGATACTTCCATGACATTCCAACTGCTGGTCATCTTTGTGCTCAAAAGGTGTTGGGAATAATTAAACAGCACTTCTACTGGCTTGCAATGAAAAAGTATGTTGAAGATTACTGCAAGAGGTGTGACAAATGTGCCGCTCGTAAACCTACCAATAAGCAGAATCGTGCACCCTTGGGACAATATTTAGTTGATGAACCTATGGAAAAGGTTGCCCTTGATATCTTAGGACCACTTCCCTGTACAAAGAATGGCAACAAGTACATACTGACACTGTGTGACTGTTTCACAAAGTGGACAGAAGCCATACCTCTACCAGATCAAGAAACACTAACAGTAACCAAGGCATTTGTCAATGAGTTTGTCTGCAGGTTTGGCACTCCACTCCAGCTTCACTCAGATCAGGGTAGATGTTTTGAATCAAAGATTTTTCATGGCATGTGTGACTTTTTATCCATCAAGAAAACAAGAACAACACCGCTAAGACCTCAAGCAAATGGCCATGTGGAAAGATTTAATCGAACACTTGCTACCATGCTTACAATGTATTGTGAAAAAGATCAAAATAACTGGGTCTGGTTTCTACCTCAAGTAATGATGGCATACGGAGCATCGACACACTCAAGTACTTACAAAAGCCAAATTTGATGATGTTGGGCAGAGAAGTGACACTTCCGATGGGAAACCTGTCAAAGAAAATGTAAAGAGAATGCATGCAGATGATTAATTACATCAAGGAATTGCAGGAGAAAATAAAACAAGCTCATAAACTTGCACGGAAATACCTAAAACAAAATGCTATTTACCTGGAAAGACATTTTGATTTAAAAGCAAGAGAACGATTATTAAAAGTAGGTCAACCTGTTTGGCTTCATGATCCTGTTCGTAAAGTTGGTGTATGCCAAAAGATGATATCACCGTGGAAAGGTCCCTACCTTATTAGAAAGAAAATTGATGACATAACTTATATGGTGAAGAAATTTCAAAAACAAACGGCTAAAGCATACCATATTATTAGACTGGTGCTGTATCGAGGACAGCACCTACCACGGTGGATTTCTGATTGGAGCAAAAGACTGAAAGAGTTGTAGTAGAAAGTTTCTGTTCAGTTATGCACTCTTCTTTCCTTCTTATGTTCTTAATCACCAACCCTGAAGTTGTGTTCAGTTTTGGCCACACATGACAGGCGATGCTGGCATGCCAGTGTGTTTTAATAGGTAGCTACCATGAGTCAAATGGGTTGTGTAAAGCTCTGGCCTGATCAACCAGAGTTGAGCTTCACGTGATTGAGAATAACTAGTTTATTCTCATGATTTGGTGGATTCCTCTAGCAAACTCTCTAACACATATAGGATTACTCTACAAAAGGGAACACTCTTGCAGTAGGTACTTTACAAATTCATCAGAAATTAATTTCCAGTATGAACGCCAGGACTAGCATTTTGCTTTTGTGCCATAAAGAGCTTAACAGTCGCAGCTAGCATGCTAAATATGACAAGAAATTGAACCAGGATGATCATTTCGAGGTTTTATAACTCCAAGCAGAATTTAATGAGGGACAGTGTAATTAGATCTCTGGTGGGAATTGTTTATATTCTTGCGATTCAAATTTCCGAGTGGGATACGAGTTGAATAACCATTTGAATATGTGCGGCAACGAGAATAGCTTGAACACAGTTGATGGTCAATCTGTATGAAAACTGAATGCCAGGACTGGCATTTTGCTTTTTGTGTCATAAAGAGCTTAACAGTAGCAGCTAGCAAGCTAAATATGATAAGGAAACAAACCAGGATGATCATTTCGAGGTGTTATAATTCAAAACAGAATTTAAAGAGGGACAACATATAGACCACGGGAAAGAATTGTTTATATTGTTGCCAGATACCCATGCCAAAAAAGTCATATCTTGGAGTTTTCACAAATAGAATCATTCTTCAAATTCTTAATATTGTCGAAATATTCTAATTGTGTTAAAATTATTTGTAAAATAAGAGTAATTATATAATGATAAATGTTTGTAACCAATGCTTATGGAAAAAAATTACTAAATCAAGAGACCAGTGACAAAAGGCAGGCTCCTTGCATTTCTTTTCTTAATCAGTGTCATTTTGCATCATTTTCACAGTTGAATTGTCAATGCAAGATACAATTTTTTATATGTTTATGTTTTTACATATGCCTGTCCATATGTTCCAGGCTTGATATTTTGATTTTTTAAAATTATTTCTGTTAATCATTTAATTATTTAGTGTCTAGCCTGATTCATCACATGTTGTATATACTATATATAATATATTGTGTATAACATGCATCAAGGTAGATACTTCTGTAACTAAGTGAGTTACCTTCTTAAAGTCTATTATTATTATTATTATTATTATTATTATTATTATTATTATTATTATTATTATTATTAACTCCCATATCTTATGGATGTCATATAATTAAGTGATCTGTATAATTTTGTTTCATGTACTCTGAAATATCACATTGATTAATAAGTCCTGTTTAATTCATATCCAGTACCACTTTGATGGCCTATTGGTTAGAGCATCCACCTTGGATGCGGAAGGTTGTGGTTTCGATTCCCAGCTGAGTCATACCAAAGACTTACCAAAATGGTACTAACTGCTGCCTCGCTTGGTGCAAAGCAGTAAGAAGTTAGTGTTAGGATTGGTTAGCCATGTCAGGATAATGTGATAATGGGTGGGACATCATGTGGCATGATGCCCAAGAGCTAGTCATCACTATAAACTGCCACACTACAGACATCCTAGCAATATGGTCAAAATATTGTTAAAGCTATGTTATAAATCCAAATCACACACAATTCATATTCATTACTTATTTAAAACATTTGTAAATGTCTAAAAATAATTCCTGGAACTTCAGTAAAATACAATATAATGATTAAAACCTCACCAGTTATAGTAAACTCTCAGAAAACAAAATGTTAGAGATGTCACCAGATTTACAGTGAAAGTTTTGGCTAGAGCTCTGAAATGAACTATCAGAATGAAGTTCCAAAATCTTCAAGCTATAATTAGTTTGGCCCAGGAAACTCCTCTGGCTGGTCAATTTGAGATAAAAGAATCAAAACTCATTTCACTTTCATAATCTTCATCAATACCATCATCAATGTCCTCATCTTGTTTTGCTTCAGATAGCTTGCCAAAACTCTCTGGAATTTTATAATGATAGTCCTTCTGAAGAAAAACTGCATTAGGGTCAGTAATATCCAACATCGTACACAAAAGTGTAGTCTGTGCATTAACTGTGGTTTGAGCGGGTGGAGCCGCCTTTTCTGTTGAGTTAGAAGGATTATATCCTGGTACAGTTATCTCAAAATGTTTTGGAAGCGATAGGTCCCCACCAAAATTTTTATAGATGCCATCCATCTCCTGGTTGCTCACTGTAAAATCATATCTGAAAAAAAGAAAATTAGAAATGAACATGTTACAATTATTTTATACCTTAGGTAATAAAAACAAAACTGTCTTAAACCCCCTTATGGCCATCAGCTACAGTAACTCTGACATGCATCAGGTGGTATACGTCATTAATTGATAATTTTGTTCTACATATAAGTGATTTTATAGACTGGATACATGAATATAAAAATGAAAGTTTTACAGTATTCCATCACTATGAGACCCTTCATTCTTAAATAACAACAGGTATAATGCAATCATGTCATGGACTCCACTGCAATTGTTTAAAATAAAGTATAATTTCAGCTTACAAATTTACTTAACCACTTCATCTATCAGAGGGTGGGCATAAGCATTCATTGTTAATTACCCATTGACAAGAATAAAATTTTTATTAAAGGCAGGAATAGTAGAATGGTGCAAAAACTTACTCAGACTTTTTAAAATCTTCACTTAGGAAAGTTTTTACCTGGTTAAAGAGCCTAATACTTGACTAAATTGGACGGAAGCGAGTTGTATTCAAAGAAACTTGTCTTGTTAGCAATCGATTAAATTGGATGGAAATGAGTTTTAAATCTTTGCTTAGGAGATTTTCTCTTCTTGACAAAGGAGGCAAGTATTTGATTTAATTGGATGAAAGCGAGTTTTAATAAGTTTTTTTAAATCTTCCCTTAGAAGAGTTTATCTTCTTGATAAAGGAGGTTAGTAATTGACTAAATTGGATGGAAATAAGTTTTATCAGTTTTTAAAATCTTCACCTAGGAAAGTTTCTGTTCCTGATGAAGGAAGTTTTTAATCGACTAAATTGGATAAAAGCCAGTTTTATTTAAAATAAGTTGAATTGATATGATTAATCTCATGAGTTGAACAACTGCTGAATTGTTCAGAGAAGAAAGAATTGTATCATGCAAAGTTGGAAGAAAGATATCAAAGAACTCATATTTGACAATGAAAGTGAAACTGTGGACTGATTTTTAGGACTGAAAACTGTTGGTATGCATACACATTAAGTTCCCTGTGAGTTTTAACTGAACTTTCTTCGAGAAGATATGATTTTATGATTTGAACCATATCAGCTATCAGCTGAATATTTTAAGTTGTCATGTCAGAGTAATGTAATCTGTCAACTAACTATTCCAGATTTAATATGTCAACTATTCTAGATTAAATATGTCAGCTAAGTATTCTTTGTAGTATAATCTTTCAACTAAATAGATGATCAACGGTGCTATGAAGTGCTAAAAGATTATAATGAGAATGCATCAGAAATTAAAGGTGAAAGTGTAATCGACTTTATAACAGATATTGATGATGTAAAATGATGACCTCGATGGAGACATAAACAATCTTGTAGTGTACGATGATGTGATGTTAGATAATCAAAAGAACCCTGCTAGAATATTTTCACGAGGTAGGCATAAAAACACTGACGTGATATATGTCACTCAACGCTACACTCAGATTCCAAAAGTGATTCGCGATAACTGCAATATTCTTGCTGTATTCAACGGCGTTGATACACATACGCTACGAAATATTTGGCAGACATGGTGTTCCGATATGGACTTCAATGGATTCAAAAATTACTTTAGTTATGCTCAGTCAGTCCCACATGGATTTATAACAATAAATTTACACGACCCTCGGTCACGATATCGTATTGGACTTGATCAAATATTCGGTTAAATCATTTGTATCAACCCTGAAATCCTTCCAGCAGCAGGGAGGGCTATGACAACATATTTGCGACGTAGATGATAGCAATTGGCAGCAATTTGAGGGTTGTTATGACAACATATTTACGACAAAATCGCTAAGGCTCCATTGTAAATGGGGTCTTTATTTTTTTTGGGTTGAAATATGAGATTTCGTAGGAAGGGCTCCATTGGCATTCTGAGGCTTTAATCGATTTTGTCGCAAAAATTTGTAGGGTTCGCCCTCCCTGCTGCTTCTTTTAAAAAAAAAATTGTTTTATCAGTCTTGTAGTTGAAACATTGATGATTATAGAGGGATATAATTGTCAAGATCACAGGGTCAGAATTGGCTAAAAATAGAACAAAACAAGGTACTAGACAATGGCCTAAAAATCATGTGACAACACACTTGTGGCTTCCTTAGGAAGAAGACATTTTGTATGCTCAACAAATGTTTCATCTGCATAATTAAATCACATACAGCTAGCAACATCAGAATAAACCAGTAGCAAACATTAGCATGTCATCATGTAAACAGAGATGATTATTTCAGAAAGTCAGTTATTAAAGTCTAAGTCATTGGGCGAAGGTGGGAGGGGGGACTTGTCTAACAATTTTAGGTAGAAAAGACTTGAATAAACAACATCCTAACTGATAAGGAACTTATTTAGCAGCAGTGAGAAAATGGAAAGAGAACTGCATGTGTATCAAGATTTAAATGACACATTTGAATGGTTTTACAATGTGCATGACAATAACACCCACTGGCATATCACACTTATGCCAAAAATAACTATTAATGAATGTTCAGTTGAAACAAGTCAGCTATTATAACAAGAACCATTCAACAATGTTGCTTTTAAACAAAGATATTAAATGCTTTTTGAAAAATGAAGTTTACCTACTACATACATTACATATACTTGTCACACAAAATTTAGTCCCTCTCTGGAAAGGCCACCCGCCTTATAAGGCCACTTTCCTGGTGCAGAAGGGTAGCCATATAAAAAAGGAATACAGACGGCTGATGATTTAAAACATATTAAAAATTCCGGGTGAAAGTAAGTCTGTGTCTTCCAAGCGCTTGGTTAGTAAAGTTTTTGAACGAAGAAAACGAAATAAGTTCGATACATACATGTCATTTGGCCAACAATGGTGAAATTATTTATATAGATAATAATTTTTTTTAAAACTGGTTATAATAAAAATATTTGAAAAAATAATCTCTAAATATATAATTAATGACTTTTTTACATGAAAGTTCTTCACCGTCAATTTTATGAGATTTAATTCGTAATAGACATATATACTGTCTCTGGTTTAGTTGATACAACTGCATACAAGCCAGTATCTAAAACGTTAAACATACACAAAACAACAGGACATACAATTAACATAATTTGCACAAAATAAAGGTACAAATGATGCATATTAAAGGGCAGCTTTAAAACACAATACGAAGCAAGGCGACGTGAAACAAGAAATATACTGCATGTGTTAAACATATTTACTATAGACGGTACAATGTCACAAACTAGAAGATACTAATTAGACAATTGTTTCTCAAGCATATCACACACAAACAACAACGCATGTTCAAAACAACTAAACGGGAAAGAAGATTTAAAACATGATGCGCTATTTATCAATCGACAGAAAATTTCTCTCAAATCAATGATACTCGACACTTCTAGTTTTGCAAGGGAATTGTGGGAACTCACCAGAGATTATGCGAGATAAACTGAGTCGAATGTGTATATCAACAGTAGGCAGGGTTTACAGTCAGAACGTGCCGAAGCCCTCAATTACTCATGACAAAACGTAACCAACTAAGAAAATACAATTCAGAACGTAAATATGATCGCTGAAACGTACTGAGGTCAAAACGTGCTCAAAACGTTATCATGCCAAAGTTTCACTGATTTCTGCAATTTATTATAAAACAATTATACTATCTCTTGCGATTTACACACCAGATCAATGCAACAAATATTGTAATAAAATTAAGATGCGCATTTGGTTGTAGCGCACTGTTTAAGCAATTCTTAGGTTTGAGTGATTACTTGTTTGATTATTGGAATTCGGTGCAATGGGAAATATTTCTTAGCCCGAAATAATTACCCAGTTATTAGGAGCAAACGTCATGGAGAGAAAGTGTGAGTGAGTTTTCAAGATGTCATGGTCAATGAGTAGCGAATTCAGACCCAGTCCGGACGACTTTATAAAATCTACTGATGTATATTGGTGTTGTGACTGCAGTGGCAGTATTTACGTCAGGAAACAGGTAAATTACACAAATAGAATAAATGAGAAAGGACTCGGAAGATACCATTTATGTCGCCATGGTGGCAAATGTGATATAGTTTTACTGGTGATGTGCCTTGAAACGGTAGATTGACTGGGCTCAGGTGGCGCAATTAAAATAGTCCTCCGTGTTTTGGGGTGGTTGTAGAGTTTCTACAGTGTGAACTACTGG